GAAGGTTTTTGAAGAGCTCCTGAAGTCTATGCAAAATGTTTTATAACATCGGAGGTCTGTGAACCATATAATTTAATATAAAATGTTATTGACCTCGAAGGCCTTTTAAGAATCTTTTACAAAATTATTTTAGGCCTATCCTATTGTAAAGTTCTCGGAAGGCTTTGAAGAGTTTTCTGGGGTTGGGAAGCGTCTTTGAAAAAATGTCTATAAACAAATCTATAAAACCAAACATTTCAAATGGATTTGATTAGCAACAACGCTTAACACAAGTTTATGATATTTTTCAAATGTGCACATATACACACACACACACTTATCTTCTTGTTGTTTATTAAAATGCACATATGCTTGTCTCGGCCACTAAACTAGGTTTGCAACAAAAGAGATAATCATTTATTATTTTTTTATTAATTTCTATATTTTTATTTGTCAAATTTTTATGTGTTGTATATATAGCATGTATCTTGTTATGTATAATAATATAGAGAAGAATTATGAACGATATTTCATAAATCGTACATAATTAAAAATAATAATAATAATTAGAAGAAAAAAATATACAAACAAATAAAATTAAAAAATGAAACAAAATTTGTAAAATATTGTTTAAAAATAAAAAAATATATATACGCATATATAGTATGTACTAACATTGAAATGGTAGTTAGGGATAGCAGGAGGAGAGAGGGAGGTGGAGATAAAGAGGAATAAATTAAAATAAAATATATATGTATATAAATTGGTGATTATAATAAAAAATAATTTCAATCTCAAAATAAAAAATTAAATTAAAACAATATAATTGTATTTATTGTTTTGTTGTTTTTTTCTTTTCTAAAAGGATACTTCTTCATAATATCAAGCATTTTGTAATTCAATAATTCTTGTTTTTTTTTAATTTTCATTTATTTTTTATATATATTATGTTTATTTATATGGAGTTGTTTATACTTAAGTTGTTGTTCCTTTTTTAAAGTTTAAAACTACTTTTATTTGTTTTTGTTTTTTTGCTTTTTTTTGAGGTTCTTAAAAATAGTTACTAAGCGAACGACTACAATTTCCATCGGATTGTTTGTTAAATGTGAATTGTTGATTTGTTGTTGTTGTTATGTTCTTATATAATACAGTAATTGTTTTTTTTTTGTATGTATTATTAAATCATTTTTTTCTGTGTGTGTGTTTTAACTAAAATATATATTTTTAAACATAGACATTTTTTGATAAATTTCGAGATAAATTAAAAAAAATGTATTTTTGGATTTGGGAAGTCATGGTAATCTTCTTCTTCTTCTTTGTGTTATTGTTGATGTCCATAGATCGGATTTTTAAACTGAAACTACAATTTTTTCAAACAGTCTGCATATAAAATCATGTAGCCAAAGCCTAGATTTGAAATTCCTTCGCAGTTAAATATTATAAATAAAGAATGAATTATTGCAACATTTTATTCGCAGACTGGTTGTCCCTTTGTGTAAAATATGTGTGTGCTTAGTGTGTTTTAATTTTTTGTTCGTTATGTTGTTTTTTAGTTAGTTTCTATTTGAATGCATGGGACTCTCCTTACTCCAGGTAAGAGAATTGTTGTAGTTTTTTAATTGAATGCATGGGACTCTCTTTACTGCAGGCAAGAGAATTGTTGTTGTTTTTTAAGCTATTTAAAAATAAAACGTTATTTTGTCCTTTGATAATAACGCGATTTTTTCACAGATGATGAGATTAGACTCTTGAGATTCTAGACCCTTTTTGACTTCATAAAACAGTAAATGAAAGAATAATATTTTCATAAAAGAAATAAATAAATTGAAATATTTTATAAAAATTTAAAAATGTTTTTAAAAATTAATATTTTTTAATGTTTAAAAAATAATATTTTTTAATATTTAAAAAATAAAATTTTTTTAATATTTAAAAATATATATTTTTTAATATATAAAAAATAATATGTTTTTTAATATATAAAAATTAATATTTTTTAATATTTAAAAATTAATATTTTTTTAATATTTGTTTTTTTTAATAAACCATTCCATTGTTAAAGAATAGATTTTATTTTTAAAAAAGAAGATAGTTTTTAACTCGATTTCATATTTGAACAAAATACGAATCTATTATGAAGGACAAAATAAGATTTTATTTTAAATTAATTTTAATGAAAGAAAAAAATAATTTGAAAAATTAAAAAAATATTTAAAAAAATAATAAATTGAAAGTTAAAAAAATTAAGGAAATATAAATTAATTATTGTATGACGATTTGCATCCTCCAAATCCTCGAAGAAGGTTGAAAAATAACCTACAAGTTTATTATCGCTTTTTACTCGATTTTGTAGAAAACTTTTTTGGGACTTTGTATAATTTTTACAAATTTCGTTTGTTTGTAGACTTAGAGTGAAATTTCCTTTCTTCTTCTTGAAATAGTTAGAAGGAGAAGTTGGTCCAACATCGAAACAACTTTATAAAGAAGCAGAATTTTATAATCGATTTTTGAATACTATAATTTGCAAAGACTTCTCTTGTTCGGAGATTTATAGTAAAATTTTGTGTAGATAATTTTCTCGCTAAAACACCAATCTGCTAAAATATTTGGAAGAAAGTAAAAAAGGGCCCGACATCGAAAAATGTGAAAAAACGAAACTTTCAAAAATTCAAAATTTCTTATATCAGAATTAGGACCGATTTTTTATTGCTACATATGACTTCTAGAGATTTCTCGTGTTCGGATATCCATAGTGAAATGGTGTATAAAATGTTTTTTCCCTTATTAACACTAACCCCCTAAAATATTTAGAAAAGGGTGAAAATAACCCGAACCGATCGAAACAATCCTATAAATCAGCTTTAATTAATTCATAATTTGATATATAATATTTATAAAGGATTTTTGTTTACTATATATGATTTCCATAGATTTCTATTGTTCGGTGAATTTTAGTGTAGAATATTTTCTTCCTTAACACCGATTTTCTAAAATATTTAAAAAAAAACTTAGAATGAACCGAAATTGCAAAGACTGTATGAAGGGACTTTAATTACTTGAAAATTTAACAATATCCGCTTTGAAACGATTTTTTAATGATATAAGTATGTAATATGCAGCGACTTCTTATGTTCGGAGACCTATAATGAAATTTGATGTAGAACAAATTCTCCCTTGGTGTAGTTCTGCTAAAATGGAAGTTTGAGGGATATTTTTTGGCCATACTCATTGAACCTTAAATATATCTTTTTAAATAACGAATTAATTTTGCTCCATAGAAGACCCGGTTTTCTGACGCTGCGATGTATTAACGAAAGACAATATTTGCCAGCATATGTTAGGTGTGTTATAATAACATAGATATCCGAGACTTCGGATATGACTGTAAAAATAAAATTTTAGAAAATATATGATAATAGAACGAAGGGTTAGGCTTTAAAATGGGCCAAATATTGGAATCCAATGAAGTAGACCATTAACAGTTGACTGATTCTCGAACTGATTTAAAATAAATCACTGACAACAAATTGAAAAGGAAAGGGGTTATAATGCTGCACACACACACACATAATTTTTATTGTTGGGTTTATTTTTTGGAAAGGCATGTAGAGAACCGCAATCACTATATGCCTCTCCAAAATAATTTAACCTTTTAATGCAAATAGCAAGGTTTATTCATAAGATTATTATTCGAAGTCTTCATTGAATGTCAAATATATTCGTGCACAATCTCAACAATACGCTTCTTTGAAATTTGTATCCTGTTCTGCTTTGTATTTCGCAATTAAAAAGTTGACAGCAAGAGAAGACTAAGGCATAACGAATTCACCTCCCTGTTAACCTTATGAATAAACCTTGGCAAATAGCTTATGAAATGCCTAACTGAGAGCGAAAGAGAGAGAATTGCATGACGTTTTTTGTTTTGTTGTTTATTACATTTTTTGTATAATTTTGGTTTTAAATTTAAATTATGATTTTCTTTTTTTTTCTAATAACTTTTAATTTATTTTTTTCCTTACATGGGAGAAGGAGGAGATTTTTCTTTGTTTTGAGGGGAGGGGGTGGTGGGTGGTATTATGTGCATAATATTACTTATTTTTTGTATTTAGTTAATTGTTGTTATTTTTCTCGTTTTTTTTCATGATTTAAATATGTATATATATATAATTATTATTTCAATTAAACAGTAATGTGTGTGTGTGGGGGGTATGGTTGGTGTTGTTGTTGTATGTGTATACGTTATGTGTTTTATTATTATAAGTATGTATGTATATTATTGTATATGCCGGAGTTTATTATCATTATTTAATATAATTATCTTTTTTTAATTTAATTTGTTTCTTTTATTTTATAACATAATTTAATTAATGTTAAAATGTATCTTCTTCTTCTTCTAACGCGCATCCCTTTATCATTGCATTTAGTCGCGCTTACACTACACTACACTCTCAACACATCATCATCATCACACATCATCCATTGAGCGATTTTTGTGCAAATTAACCACAAATGGATGTATGTATATGCGGAATTGGGTTATTTCAAGATCAACTTTAAATAAACAAGGTTATGTGTGTCGCTCGCCTGCTATATCGGTTCCATATGGTGTCTGTGTATGAGAGCAAGGTGGTGGTGTACTCTTCTTTTTGTAAGTATGTATGTAATTTAATTATGTTTCAGATGCTTTAGTTATAAGTTAGATAGATGTACATATATATCGTTTACTTCGCTATTTGTTTTCTTTTCTTGTTTATCTCTTATGTTTTTGTTTCAATTCTAATAAAACTCTAAACGCGTTTCATTTTTTTGTTTTCTTGATCGTATTTTAAACGTTATATAAACACATACATTAACTTGGTTGTTTTGTGATCGATGATAACACCCAATCATCATTCAATCCAAATACAGCATTGTTAGTTTGTTGTTGTTGCTCGATCATCGAGAAGTAAATCAACACCTATTATCTTACGTAAAATCGTTGTGGTGGTTGTTGTTGTTGTTGTGGTTGGTGATTTCTACTGCAACTAGACGACACGACGACGACAACGGCATAGATTGTCATCTAGACAAACACTTTCGCCAAACCATCTGCACCCGCACTGGCTATATACGGTTTCGTGGCATGGAACGCCACATCAAATATGCTCTCATCGAATTTCTTGCGATGCGCTGTGATCTCCTGCACACATGTCTTGTTATCCAAATGCCACAGGCGTATGGAACAATCATGTGAGCCCGACAACAAATATAGACCATGAGCATCGACCGCCAGCGATGTTACAGGTTCCAAGTGGGCCACCATCGAATGCACCAACTGTCCGGATGTGTTGTCCCAGAAACGTATGTGCCGGTCCTCGTGAGCTGTTATTGTTATAGGCAACGTTGGATGTGAGATCACTTTGTTGATGAATTTCCCCGTATTACCGGACATTTCTTGAGCAGCCTCCAGTTTGATGACTTGTTTGCCAGTTTCCGTATCGTAAATCAGGCAGTGGGCACTGTTGTAGGCCACCACAATGTGATCGACTTCATTGCGCACAAAGTCAACGGATGAGGGTACACCCTCAACCTCGGAAGCTGTGTAAGTGCGTAGCAAGGGCTCTTTGCTGTATGGCGACCACAGTTTGACACTACCGTCGGCCGAACACGACACAATATTACTGTGCATTGTGGCCAGGCCCCAGACGGCGTCTGTGTGACCCTCCAGCGTGCCCGAATGTACACTGGGGTCATAGCAATCATACGGATCAATATTGGGCGAGGGCAACTTCCAACATTCAATATTGCCATCCAAGCCGCCGGAATAACAGGTTTCACCTGTGGTAGACATGCCCAGGCACAGTACGGGGCCAGTGTGGGCTCTAAATGTGTACAATGGTTCAACATCAAGACTAGCAGATTTTTTGGCTTGTACCGTTTTCTGTAGATTCCACAGCTTAAGGGTGTGATCTTCGGAGGCGGTTATCAGCACCGGTTCCTCGGGATGGAAAATCAACGAGCGTACACCATCGAAATGTGAACGTAGTGTGTATTTGGCATTCCATGTTTTGCGATAGGCGCCACCACCCGAGCCATCCTTAGTGTTGGAATCGTAAGAGCCCTCCGAATCGTTATTCACTGTCAATTGAGCCAATTCGCCTAAGCCGAGAGAGGCGTCCACATCTTCGTCGCCGGCCGCAGTAACAGCTGTGATTAGATTGCGTCGAGCAGCAGCCGAGGCGGCTGTATTTACCGTATTATTAGTTTGTTCAACATTCGATGATGAATATCCTTAGGAGGGGCATTCATTAGAGGTGGTGGGGTGGGTGGTTGAGTTGGTGTTGGTGGGTGGCAACATTTCATTTGAAATGAAAATGATGATTAATTTACGTCAGATGTTTGTTTGATTTTTCAGTTTTCAAATCCAATCATCATGAGGCACACATATACAGCGAGAGAGATAGACAGACCAGATTCAATTCAGATGGGTAGGCAATCAATGGAAAAAGAGTGTAATGAGAAAAATATTAGTTTTGTTATTTCCTTTATGTATGTAAGTATATTATAAATCATTTATTTAAATTCTAATAATAATAAAAATAAATAACTACAAAATTTTGAATTGTTCCATAACAAACAAAACATTAAATGTTCCCATTAAAAATAAATTGTCATACAAAAAATTATAATAAGCATTGTTGTAATAGAAGAAGAAAAAGGCAATGCAAATTTTTATATAGAAGAAACCTAGAAAAAAATAAAACAATAATGGTATAGTTTTGTATACAAGTTAATGATTTGTTTTTCTACTTTAATTTCGGTTAAAGATTGAGCTTGCCTATTGGGTTTCATAAAAACGGTAGTAATTTCTTTCAAGTCTTCTTTTTGTTTTATTGTCTTACATCCAATTGTTTTTTATTTCAAATCATTCAAAACTTTTCACCATTATTGTGTTAAAAAATAATAAAAGAAACAAAACAATATAACACCCAATAATTTTGTTTATGTGCACAGTAGTTTCGATTTTGTTCGGGGTTCTTTTTTTGTTTCGGAAATTGCTTTTATAACAACATAGCTAAGCTAATTAACATAAACTATAAACAACATTGACATAATAAGCACCTTCTGTTATAAGATTGATATCATTGAGCAGCTGTTCTCCCAACTCAGCACCCAGATCTTTATTTGGTTTTTTATATAGGAATCGATATTCAATAGTTTATACATTAAATGTAATATTTATTTTTTTTTTGTGGTTGTTCATTTGTTTTCACATAAATAAATATACATATAAAAATACATACATACAGATATGTATAGGTTTTGTAATGCAACCGAAAAGAAAATAAATCAAATAAAGAAAGAAAGAATATTTTGCATATTATATCAAAGAGAAATAGATAGAGCAATGTTAGAGTAAACAAATAACCATTTTTATACATGTGTTGTTGTTTGTTTGGTTTATTTTTTATTGTTTGGATGACAAAATAGGGTTTGTTAAAAATGATAATGACGATGATGGGAATTATATCAAAGGAGTAAGTAATATACCAGGATGAAAAATATTTGTTTACTTTTATATATTTCTAACTAGATCTCGGATTTCATAATCAAAATGTATTGTCACCAAAACAGCGAGTTTTATAGCCTACTGGTAGGCCCTAAGGCGTGGATTTTGACGAAAGAAAACTATCACAGAATTCTTCCTGCGCCCTTAAAACCAAATGAATAAAAGTTTACAATTACACTGAGAAAACATGGTCACCCATGCACAATTTTTCGACAACTGAAAAAGCAAGCCAAAGTGGTTTACGCATATAGAGACAAGATTGCCATATACAAAAATGTGGTTGCGGGTCGGAAAAATATTAAACCAAGATTTTATGAGCGCTGTTCAAAGCTGCCCCACGTTCAAAGGTGCCCCCCTCTCCCCTATATATTTGTAGCATTAAATCTTCGTCGGACTACATTATTTTTTTTCAGTCCTTATTTTGATGTCCCTACTAGTTGCCAATACAAAGTTAATTAAAACCCCTCTTGAGATAGTGAGAAAACAACTTTCTCGAAAGGTTGGTTTGTTTTTATTCGATCTCATCTCATTTTTCCGAAGAAGTTGCGTTAGATTTGATCTTGATCTAGATGCATTGACGAAGGACCCCCATATGGTCCTTTGTCATCATTATGCATATGTTTATTCAAATTATGGTTTATTCAACTCCTTTGATATTTGTAATTTACGGCCTGCTTCTGCAAAATTAGAAACGAAGGCTATCGATAAATTTACTACCAATTTTTTTATTCTATTCTCTATTGAAACGTTTTTAATTAAAGGGTTTGATTTCTCGATTTCGTTCGTTACGAACTTTTTGCAGAAGTAGGTAATTAGAATCATGGGAACATGAGTGTATTGTCTTTGTAATTTAAAAGTAAATTTGTTGTTATTGTGGCTGATAAAAGAAATATATTGTGTAACAAATAAAATTATTTATTGTAGGATTGACAAAATTTTCTTTAAAGTAGGGAGATAAATTGGCTTTCATAAGTTCTCTTTTTTTGGCGAATGAAAGACCATAATGTATTGCAGGGAAAATTTAATAGTAGATTCAGATTTAGTCTGTAACATTTAATTTACCTTCACTTAGTATATCTTTGCCGGGCTTAATACGTTTTGTGGTTTTCATGTCGCTCTCATCATTGTCACCGGTGACCATTTCTAAATCATCGGAAATTTCATCATCGTCCGACATTTCTGTGGGTCCCAAAAATTCAAAATTTGCCATTACAGCTGCTTCGGTGTCCAGAATGATGGCATCGTTATTTTGTTGGATCTTTTTTGCAGGTGTGCGACGACCTAAGTGCAAAAATTGAAAATAAAAAACAAATTTAATTATTCTGTTACTCATCTAAGGAAATAATTAACTTACCCTCCGACTCTGAGGCCCTTTTATTATTCTCATTTCCATTAACATTTGGACTAACATTCTCCTCCTGCTCGGCATTGTTGTTCAGGCCCAATATGGAACGTACACGATTTGAACGTACATCGATAATGTTATCGGTAAAACCGATCTCTGCCAAATATTGACGCAACATTTGTCTGCCTTGACGCCAAGTTGTATTCGACACTGAACTATATGGTACCTCGGAATCTGGTGCAACTTCTCCGCCCAGCGAAGAATCATCACCCGATGGTTTTAATTCGTTTAGTTGAGGCGGATCGGTGCCATATTTGAGGCGATAAAATTTGGCACGTTCTTGCCTCAGAGCGTATTCCAACATTTTAATGCGTCGTGTTAAATCCGATTTAAGGCTTTCCAAACATTTACGTTCGCCAAGTAGCATTGCAATGCGGGCCTGTAAAAAGTTTTTTTTTTTTTTGTGAAATGGAGTCAATTGGAATTAGAAGTGTTTAGTGCGGAGATGATTTCTTTTGTAAATAATATGATGTGCATTATTTTCTACTATATCTGTTCAGGTGGCTTTAGGGGATCCCAAAAAAAAACGTAACCAATTACGTTTTCATCCTGAGATGAAAATGGAAACCTGGTGATAGATACAGACAGCGTGTTGAGGATCTGGAAGGGGCATTTTCCAAACCTTCTGATATCAAACAGTTGTAGTGAAGAAGATATCCCAGAACCAATAAGTGATGCTGTTATAGAGTGTATACCACCTAGCCAAAATGAGATCAGAATATCAATTAATCGGTTGAAGAATAATAAAGCAGCAGGTGCCGATGGGCTATCAGGCGAACTATTCATGACGTGATCAGTTGCCGGTCAAGAGCATGTACCAGCTGATTAGTACAATTTGGCTAGAGAAATGCATGCCCAATGATTGAAATATCAGCATCATGTGTCCCGTTCACAAAAAAGTAGATAAGACGATATGTGCCAACTATAGAGGAATAAATCTTCGACAGCTCCATCCGTTCAGAGGTGTTTAAAGCCATGTCCATGTCGACAGCCCCATCCGTTCAGAGGTGTTTAAAGCCTGCTAAATTAATACGGCTATGCAGGATAACTTTAACTGGCACAAGGTCAGCAGTTAAAGACGGAAAAGTCTTAAAAAAGGACCTCTCGAAGCCCTTCAATACGAAACGAGGATTCAGACAAGGTGTCGCATTGTCGTGCGACCTTTTTAACATCCTGTCGGAAAAGGTCATACGACGAGAGGCAAATGTGAACAAAAGTGGCACTCTGTACACCAAACAAAACACTTGTTACACGCCTACGCCGATGACATCGACATTATGGGACCAACATTGTGAGCGGTACCAAATTGAGAAGGAATCTACTTCGAGGTAATCAACGATTTTATATACGTTGGTACCGCCAAAAATAAAACTAATGGCAGAAGTTTTGAAATTCGGAAAAGGTTAGTGTAGGCCAACAGATGCTAAGAAAGCTCACACTGTGCAAGACGCTGATACTACCCGTATAACAATATGGACCTGAAGCATGGGTACTTGCGCAAGCATATGTGGCAGCTCTTGGAGTGTTTGAGAGAAAAATTATCCAAAAGATCTATGGGCCGATCTGCGTTGACGGTAAATATCGCCGTCGAAAATAATACTTGTTTAGCAAATATAATTTCTTTTATTGCCTTCTGACATTATTTCATTTGAAAATTTTATGCAAATCGAAATACCTATACTAAAATTTGATGCGGGCTATTACTTTATCAATTTTTTTCTACTTAAACTACAAATAGTTTGACTCGCTTTTCATTTTCACACCATCTACAAAGCAACAACAACACCAGCAACAACATGTAAAAAACCCAGCAAACTGCAGCAAAAAGAAAAGTTTACTCTGTTCTGTTCAGGTTCATGGACAAATACAACCGGCAACCGGTAGTTAGATATTGCTAATGGTACATCGTTGTAGTAAACAAAAGCCAACAAGTAATGAGGAAATTTGCAAGGCTATAATCCAACAACTTGGGGTTGGGTGTCTTTTTTTGAATTTCTATTCTCGAAATGTAACTGTTTCCTTTTCGGATGATGAAACAATGAAAATGCTGTTGGCTGGCTGGCTGATTTACTTGTAGTTTGGACAGAATGTGGGGTTTTTGTGACCATGACAAAACAACAACAACAAGAAAAAACCATCAACAATAACAAGTTCTGTTATTCTTATTATTGGAGCGCAAATTTTTAGTAATAAAAGAAGCAGTACTACAACTATTTTTCTTCGTATAAACTAATTTATTTATTTTTTTGACTAGTTATATGTATATAAAGTCCGACATGTTGGTGTTACATACAAAAACAGTTTAATGATTGCGTGATGTATTACAATTCGTCAAGTGAGTTCTTTATTTATTTCTTCTACTATCAATGGTGTCGATCTTCTTAAGTAAATGTTGATTGATATTGGTTTCAAGAACGCATGAACATGAAACCTAAACAATTATGAATGTGTATTGCAGAATAAAATTACTGATTTTAAAGGCCCTGTAAATTTTAATATATCGAAGACAAATGCCCTGGTTTATAAACTGCAAGAAACTACTATTGTTTAAAAAAAAATGTTCTTCAAATTTGTTGAGAACAAAAAAAAAAAAAAAATACACAATTTCCTTACACTATTTAGGAACCCTCCTACATATAAACAGTGATCACTTCTTCATTTAATTATTCATTTTTTTTTTTTTTTTTTTTGAAAAACAGAAGTCTTCTATTAAAGGATATGTTCTCTATAGGACAGAAGGTTGTTGTAATAAATATTTTTATTGAAGACCGACACAATGTTTTGCTTCTCTATTGCAAATTAATTAGCGTATACATATAATGTATTTTTTGTAATGTATGTCCGAAAGGACTTTCTACAGACCAAAATGTCTTTCAGTAGATCCTGGGAGCATTTTAAAAAGCCTACATGTCGCCAGACCAAACTAATACTCTACAAGACTCTGATACTACCCGTGCTGTTGTATGGATCTGAAGCATGTGTACTTGCGCAAGCAGATGAGGTAGCTCTTGGAGAGTTTTAGAGAAAAAAATTCTCCGAAAGTTCTATGGGCCGACCTGCGTTGACGTTGAATATCACCTTAGAATGAACCATGAACCATCTATTATCGGACATCGGCATAGTCAGGCGTGACGTAGGGGATGATAGATACCAAGCAACGCCTCTGACTTTAATATGGCTAAGCCCAGGATTATCTTGGTTCCTCTATCATCTCAATTGTGGACACTGACCTCCACACGGGGTCACCTGGGGTTGATATTTTCATCACCCGTTGAATAAGTAAGCTGATATGTGCTGCGAGATCAACCATACTATGAAAAAGCAAAGAAATGAAAAACCAAACCTCCTAATATTGACGACTCCTCCAAACGAATGAAGGACCACAATCTTCGAATTTGCACTTGGAATGTACGCACGTTGAATAGAACAGGCACAGTTTTCGCTTTGGCGGTTGTACTAAAGAAGTACAAAGTACAGACGATTACGCTACCATGAAACGAGACATGAATTTGGCTGCGGACTTATGGTTAACAGGAGAATAAAAGACCTTGTCTACAGATTCACTGCAGTAGATGGGCGAATTGCCGTATAATCCGTATAAAAGCGATGTTCTACATCAGTCTTAGACCAGTCTTGCGCCCATGCTCCGACCGAAGACAAAGATGAGCAAACCAAAGACATAATTTAAGAGCGCCTAGAAACAGCATATGACCGCTGCCCAGACCATAACTCCGCGGCAGCAAAAAAGAAATTGGAAGTTAGCAGCATCAGTTTCAAGCATCTCGAGGACACCTGGATTTCTCCCGAACAAACAACGAAAAATCGAATTGATTATGTTGTAATAGACGGAAGGCATTCATCCAGTGTATTAGACGATCAATCGAGAAACTCGACGTCGAAAAGCTGCAAACACAACAGGTAGCCGAGGCCTATGTCGCTCAAATTACCACCCACCTGCTTGACGAAAGCACTTCTAGTCTAGATAATAGTATAAAGGCACAATGGCAACGAATTGTCCGCTCCCTACAAACTGCATCAAAAGCAACACTTGGGTACCAAAAACCACCATCAAGAAATCCATGGTACGATCAGGAGTGTCGTAATGCTACTGAGTTGAAAAGCCCAGCTTATAGGGCAACCCTTCAGACAGTAACAACACACAATGCGAAAGAGAATTATCGGGAGAAAAGAAAATATAATTATTTGCATTCATTGTTACCCAAGAGCGCAATAAATTGAAATTCATCACAAACAATCCACAACCTATCTTTATCCTACAGATCCTCATTACCCACACATAATGGTCCACATTACCCGCCAAGTTATTTTTATTCGCAGTTTAAAGTTTTTTGAAATATAATGCAATAACATTTTTATAGACAAATATATAATGTTTGATCCGGAATATATTTAGCCAACAAATCTACTATGTTGCGAAAGCAATTTGTTATTATTTTTTACCGTTGTTACGCCCACAATATCAAAAAAGGAAATTGTGGTCCACATTACCCGAAGTTACTCTAATGGATCGAACATTGAGAGCGGTAACAGCCACCTTTGAACAAATTAAACCCACCTTTGTCATAGTGGGTCTGACAGTAAACGGCGAGAAGACCAAGCTGATGGTATCAACGCGCAAGACGTCAAGTAGACTCGGACCAACTGTGGAACTTGAGAACTACAGCTTCGAGGTAGTTAAAAATTTTATACACCTTGGTACGCCCATAAATAAAACTATTGACAGTTTTGAAATTCGGAGAAGGATAGTGGTGGCCAACAGATGGTCTAAGTAAGCAGTTTAGAAACAAGGCCGCCTCCCGCCAGACAAAACCCACACTCTACAAGACGCTGATACTACCCGTGCTGTTGTATGGTTCTGAAGTGTTCGAGAGAAAAATTCTCCGAAAGATCTATGGGTCGATCTATGTTGACGGTAAATATCGCAGTCGAATGAACCATGAATTATACCATCTATTGTCGGACATCGACATAGTCACAGATGTATCGAGCTGCAGCAACTACGTTGACTATGTCATATTATGAGAATGAATGAGGATGCCCCAGCACAAATGGCATATAAAAGCGAACCAGCTGATGGTTCATGCAGAAGGGGAAGGCCACGAATTAAGTGGAAAGATCAAGTGGATGAGAACATTTCGAAAAATGGTCTTACACATTGGAAGAGCTGTGTTGAAGACCGATGCGTTTGGAAGTCTATTTTAAGATCGTAGAACAAAAGTTATGTCAGTAAGAATTTGTTGGTCTTCAAAAAACTACCATGAAGGGCTGATTAAAGTGGGAGTAAATAATCTTTCATCTAAAATAAAATTCAAACAGGAAAAACAAACATTGGTAAATTGTGTTGGCTCTAGCAAACTCCTTTTTCGTAATCAGTATCAAGTAAGTTTGAAAAGAATGAGAATGGAAGTATGGACATCCGAAAAATTAATAAATATATTGTGGTTATTAGGGTCTACGTTGCTACTTATAATAAAAGTATCAACATAATCCGTGGTCGGCCTTGTCTCAACTATTTATGTAGATTATCTCAGTGTGTACATTTGATGGTCTTCAAAAATTAACCATGAACCATAATTTTTCCACTTTATAAAATGTCCTAAAATCCTATTATAGGAAAAACAAACATTTGCAAATTGGGTGGGGTCTCTTGCAAACTCATGCATCGGAGATAGTAGCTAGGAACCCGACATTACTAAAAACAAAAAAGTCTTTATAAATAATAATATTGACAATAGCCTGATACAATACCCTAATCGGGACTTGTAATGGTTTTGTTAACGTTCCTGTAATATTAACTGTGGGTTCGCGGACTTCCTGTTCAAAAATTAAAATCATTGTCAGCTGTTGAGAACATCAACGAAAATATTAATTCTATCCCGATTTCTCGGGCACCCAACATAATATGTATGTGGAGAGCATCGGAATAAAGTATGCTCCATATTTACATAAAACGGATTATATTATCCATTCTAAACCAATAAATATAAAAATAAAACTGAAAATGCCCTGTGAGATATGGATAGGGCTTTAGGGAAAATCATTTTTATGCATAAACTTTAGGGCGGGCCAATTTTTTTGTCAATTAAATTCAGCCCTTAGGATGATTCCATGGAGCAACTTTGGTGAAGGAACCATAAGTCGATCTAGATTTTCGAGTCTCTCACTTTTCAAAAAATGTTTTTTTTCCTATAACATCATTTTGATTCAAAATTCGATTATTTATTCATCGTTATATTATATTTTTTCATAAATATTTTAACTATTTTTCGAATTCGAAAATCGAATTTAGAATCAAAATGATGGGAAAAATAATTTTTTGAAAAAATGGGAGACTTGAAAATCGAGATAGACCTATGGTTCTTTCACCAAAGTTGCTTAGAACTGTCCAAGAAACATCCTAGGGGCTGGATTTAATCGGATTTTTCGGCTTCATACAAATTTGCCCGCCCTATCGAACATCTACCTAAGTATTTTACTTAAACATAATAACCTATCTATCTTCCAATTTTGTGTTTGTCTTCTTCTTATGTGTATTCCCATTTTGTTGTTGTTGTTGTTGTAATAAGACTTCGGTATTCCCCTACTAACCTGCAACAACCTTAACATTCACATTCTCAGTCGTGTAGAAGTAATTGAATTAGAAAAATGTGCTTCAATGCATTTGCATATATTGTTACTATTCGTGTTGTTGTGCTTTTCATTTTTGTTGTCCCTGCTCATAGCTAGCAGCTAAATGCTTAATAGTCGTAGTAGCAATAGAAAATAATGCAAAAAATAAAAATAGAATTAAAATCAAAAATTAAATTCATTCGTACTATTACTTACTTGCAATTCAGCACGGTCGACATCCCATTGTGAACGTTCCAATTCGAAACGTGACCATTCATGCTGTATGAAATGCAATATGCCAGGTATGGTATACTGTGGAGTTGCCTGTTGATTATTGACATTGTTGGCGGCACCGCCATTGCCATCGTCCGGATTACCGCCGCCGGAACCCATGCCGACACCGCCAAGGCCACCGGCGGAGTTGGAGACATTATTGCCACCGACCAACCCCAGCCCAGAATTTTGTCCACCACCTAGGCTGTTGTTGGCTGCATTATTAATGGCACCGCCACCACCGAGACCACTGCCGCCAATTAGGCCGGCACCGCCGCCAACAACTCCACCGCCACCACCACCCGTACCGCCAGCTCCACCGATGGGTTTATTATTGATGCCCGTTGTGGCTCCGGAATTAGTACCCATTTGTAGCAACAATTTTAGGCCGAATTTATCCTGACGACAACGACGACACTAGACACGTAGTAGTATTTATGGATGATTGCAATTGCTTTTGTTGTTGTTTTACACTTGCCTTGTGGTTTGTTTGTTGTATTTTTTGGAATCACGTCTGGTTTTTATTTTATTTAAAAGTTGTTGTTCGTTCAAGTTGGCAAATTATTTTTTTGTTTGTTTATTTTTCACTTTCTATCCTTTGTTATTTTCTTTTCTGTATTTCATATTCCCAGTGAGGGAGGAGAAGATAAGAAAAAAATAAAATATTTAATTTATTCTTTATTTTTTTTAATAACACTGATATACAAGTTGTATTAAATTTTGATATTTTTATATTGTTTTTGTTGTTATTATTGCTATTCAAAATTTTTTTCAAATTGCAAAAAATGCAAAAATACTGCAGACGACATAACCTAAAAAAATATTAACTACAATTCACCTGTGTCCCCCCCCCCCCCCCCCCCCCCCCCCCCCCCCCCCCCCACTTTTGTTGTGTGTGTGTTGGTTGGTTGGCGATGGGCAGCTGGTGGTGGCACAGTAAACGTATCCAGTGCTCAAATCACAAAATTGTCGTTTTGTCCACCAATCTAATCTAGTTCGTATTCGAATTTATAAAATCAAAGAAAAAACTAAAACAAAAATAAAACGACCCACCAACAACAACACTGCAAAAATATGTAGTAAAAAAAATAGGGAAAACAATTTGCAAAAAAAAAAATATTAAATATTAATTAATGAAAGATTCTCAAAAAACTTTTTCTTCTCTGTTCCAAATTAAGAAAATATACAAGTCATTGAGCCATCATCATCATCGTCGTCACCATCACTACGCGCGACCAACGACACCAAAGACTACTATTTTGGCTGTTTGGCGACTGGCTTTGCCAGTTCTGCCAGTTCAAGGGAAAGTGCAATTTTCTTTTCTTCGCCTTTTTTGTCCAATATCAGAAGATGAGCAGCCGCTGCTTTGTTTTTCACTTCAATTTCTGCCCAATGATATTTTTCTTTTCGCTTTCTTACGTATTCACCACATACAACATTTCACAGAAAAGTATTTTTGTAAACATTTTTGTATTATTATTGCTTTACTATCATCGTCGAATATAGAAAATTTGATGATTTTCGCTTAATTATTCCGGTCTTTTATTTGTTTAAATTTGTATTCTTCTTTATTATCTGCTCCTCCTCTTTGCACTCTCTTGGTCGTTCGGTGTAATTTTCTTTCTTTTGTCAATTAAATTTTCTCAATGGCTGGCTGGCCAGTCAGCTAGCTGGTTGGGCTGCACACCAGTGTTGCCAGACTGTGGCAAGCGAACGAACATCATCGCATATCATCCCCATTAATAAAAAAAAGGAGGAGAATGACAATAAAGAAGAGAAGAAGTATATGAATAATCCGAAAATAGCAATAGCAAGGAAAAGGTAGGGCATGCACAACTTTATTATCCACAATTCCCCCCCATGTTCCTTCGTTGACACAATTTTACACTTTTTCACATAATTGCTAGGGATTTTCCCGTTTGATTTTTTGAAAACCAATATATTTTTTTAATTTTTATCCACAAAAAAATTTTCTTTATTTATACAATTCCTTTATTGTCTACGTCGTTTCATTCCACTTTTTTTATTCTGACTGACTGACATACGCACACACACTCACTCACTTTTTTGGGATATTTTACAATTTATTTCTTGCGATATTTTGTTTTGTTGCTTTTTACTAATATTTTTTAATTCACTGCTATTTGTTTTGTTTTATATGTATATTCTTTAATTGTGTAAAATATGTTTAATTGTATTTCTATAATTTTTCTTTTCGTGTTAAACTTCATAAAAATTACCCGAGAAAATTTTCTTCATTTCACACACACACAAACAGACACGAAAATAGGGATATATAAATCGAGTTTGGGACTAATCGACTTTTAGTAACTAGAAAAAGTCCATATCGAAATGAATAGATAGTCGATGATTATTATTTCATATGAAATGGTGATTGTCAAATTGACATATATGTATGTTAAATATTTTTATAATTTAATTATTAATTTAATTTAATAATTAATAAATAAATATCTGAATGTTGTTGAATGGCAGTATTGCCAAAAGACTGCAAAACTGTTTCATATGCAACTACACCTTTGATCTGTTCCCATACTGCAAGAATCTGGACAGTCAGTAATCGATAAAAGAGTTGACAGTCCAAAAAGGATAGTGTGTACTCGTCCAAGTCCTATAAATAAGGTTGTCCAGGAAGACCAGCTGGATATCAGCTCCCTTTTAAGGTTTCTGTCAAATTCCATTATTTTGAATTCATTATGAAAACGTAAACAGACGCCAAATTTTTGACATTAGACTTGAGAAAAAACCGCTGACTTTCGCAAGCTAGATTATGTCTTATCGAAAATACAACAACCACAAGGAAACGATAATAGCAATTGAGCCAAGCAAATATGGGGTGGGAAAGAGAGGAGTGGAACGTCGAAAGATAAAGGACGATTTTCATAAAACGTGTTCAGTGAAAAAGTACCTTTATTGTGTATTGTGGTCTTAAAGCGGTTAATACTATTACTTGGTCTGTTCCCGTACTGCAGGAATCTACTAATTTTTACTACGATAACGAATTTTCCTTTGTGATATCGAAGAAAATAGTAAAATCTAGTAGATTCTTGCTGTACGGGAACAGACCAATTATAATTTTAGTACAGTTTTGGTCTGTTCCCGTACTGCAAGAATCTACTATTTTTTACTACGATAACACTTTTTTCTTTATGATAAGGATAAAAATATTAAAAACTCGTAGATTCTGGCAGTACAGAAACAGACCATTTATAAAAGAAAAATTCAAAAATATTAAATTTGTTGCAGGTTCGCCGATAAATTTGTAACATCGATTTCTATATATCGACTATAAATCCCTATATTAATGAACTTGAGTGTTGTAAAACGTACTGATTTACTGCTTGCACAGTGTTAGTCAACGTAATTGATCTTAACCCTTCGAACACCTACAGATATAAAATAAAAAATTTCTTTTTGCAGTATGAAACAACAACATTTTTTGTTTTATTATTTATTTTTGTTTTAAATTTATTAGCGAAAATAATCGCAAAAAATTTCATCACATTCTCCCACTCTCTGTAATCCAGAATAAATAAAAAATTTCGAACTTGATTCCGAATAAGGGGAAAATGAAAATGCGAAAAAAATCGTTGCGACTTCTGGTTCGGAATATCATTAAAGGGAGGAGCGAAAAAATGCACGGTGATTTTTTAAATATATTAGATTGGGGAAAAAGAAATTCATTATTTTTTCGGCAGATGACTCTACTGAAAGATTTCTCGTAAAGTATAGATCAAACAATTTCAGATTTATTATTGAGAAAAATTCGGTACCATGGTCCAATTCACAGTTCGTGTAAGAGGCGAAATGATTTCACCCGAACTGTCAAAATTTGACTTAAATCATATGAAGACGTAAACCAAAAATTTGACGGTTTAAGGGATTTTCTAAGAAAATGGCCGATACGATACGACCTGTTTATTGGATCATGTTCGGTACATTATACAGTTGTTCTTTAACAAAAGCGATATTGTTCCGATTACTGTAACAGCTAATTATGCGGAATTTTGTTTTCGTAGATTCCGTTCAGTAATTTTTGATTTAAAGATGTACCTCGCACAGTTAGGCCGGTCGTCGAAATTGCGGATAAAATCGCAGCCATGATCCGGAAATACCTTTAAAATGGCAACAAAACGGTTCATATTTGGACTAAATCGGACGTTCCGAAGCGTCCTATTGCTCATATAAAAATAAGGGATTTATTTTTTACTTAACCTAAAATATTTATTAATTTCGCGAACAGTTTTAGTAGAAATAGATCAATTTAAGTCATCTCTGATATCAAATCAATTGTTTGAACTGAACAAAATTTTCATGGAAATGGAGGTATGTTGACTAGTATAAGTCTATAGCATCTGCTTATAAAATAAAGTCTTAAATTCCCGGTCAACAAGACCAGCCACGAAGTGTTTTCTATTTCAAAAAAGATTCTGGAGTTGTTGATATCAACGTCCTAAGGCCGGACTCCAATAACAGCTATAATATTGCCTACTGTAGAAGCCGGCACTCGAAATGTTAGCATTGTTATACTACCTATATCACGTTTAAAGAAATTCCTTGAATGTAGCCTGGTCTTCATTCTATCTACACACTCCGATAATTATTTTGACGTCTTGTATATATTTGGAGACTTAAAGGCGAAGTGAAAAATTAACAAGTTTGTTGTTTTTTTTTGACATGATAGAACTTGCGGGAGTTCTGAAGGAACGAGTGGTAAAACACACTTCTACAAATCGTTTCCTCATTGTTGATATTTTAATGATCACTAATTTTCAGAAACGAGTACTATTAAATGACGGATGCCTATATTTTGAATACCAATGTGGGCGAACACAATTTACTTTAATCTGCCGATAACTAGCGCACCCACACACACACACATCTTAAAAATTGTAATAATCTCAACTTTTCAAACAATAACTATATTTTATCGCTTTTATTAATTAAAAACTAACAAATACAAAAATATATGATTCTTTTAGACATGGAATTAAAAAAAATTTTGGGAACATACTGCTAATATATATTTGTATAGAATTGAGTTGGTGAGTTGTACACAAAATATTATTTAGATAGAAAAAAAGAGTAAAATACAAAACGAAAATGCACAATTGTTTACAAAAATTCTTCACACCAATCATTGAGGCAGTTGTAACAATCGGATGCCTGTTTAGAACTTGCATTGCATGTATCCTTCATCCATTCCCTGAACAGTTCTTCATCCTTTTTCAAGACCAGATATTGACCCAAGACTGTGTAGGCCTGCAAAGAAAGACACGAAATACACTTATTAAATTCAATATTCCAGATACATGTGACGACAATGTTTGGTATCGAAGTTGCGTCATTACGCACTTAATTGTTTAAATAAACACTTTATTCGAATCTTACCTTATCGAAGCCAGCTTCAATTAAACGACCACCTAATGTTTCACCAATACCCGCCAAATCTGTGACTGGTTTGTCGCCCATAGGTTCTGCCACGAAATTTCTATATTTTTGAGATGTTCCCGACATTGTTTTGAATTTTTTTGTTTAACAATTACTTCAATTAATAACTTTTCTCTTGAGCCTCGGATACACGCTTTGATGCTGTTTATAAAAAAATATTTCACAATTCCAGAAGTTAAGAATGACGCACCTCCTTCCTTGTACTTTTGCTTGTTTATGAATGGTTGTTTAATTTGGTATGTTGTTTATTGGCTGGCTGGCCATTCAGCATCAGGGTTGGTACATATCGTAACTAAAATGTACGAAAGGGTACAGTTCTTTGGCATAGTGAGACAATTGAAAATGATCGTCTTATTAAAATGTAGTATCCATGGCCCAATATACAGGTCTTTTAGAAGCAATCGCTAATTTTAGATTAAAATTCCGCAAGCTGTCAAATTTTTTGTTTACATTTTCACAAGTCGAAAGCATTTTGACAGCTCGGGTGAAATCATATGGCCTTATCGGACGACCTTATTATCGGGCCATGGTATATCTTTGTGGTTGAATGTATTTCTTTTTTATATATGTGGCCGATTTATTATTTATATTTTATGTATTTTTTGAATATAAAAAACACATTAATGGCAAAAATATATGATCAGATTCTGTACTCAAAAAGTCTTAAAACTTTTAAATTTATGAAGGGGGATTTGAAAACAATTTCAATTGCTACTTTTTATATTGGCGTGTTCCATTACATCCATAATCTAATAATTTTTAATATTTTTTCATTATTGTTAATTAAAAAATTTATTATGGTAGTAAACAAAATTGTACTATTTTTGTAATTTCAGGAACATAATTTTTTAATGTCATGTTCTGACGGTCATCCGAACAACGTAGTTCGCTCTCAGAATTACGTACATGAATTAACCCGTTCATACAACACTATTCATAATTCATGTCATCAGAGTTTTTAATTTCAAACTTTTTGTTTCTTGTTTTACACCAAAAATATAACATATTTTTGTGAATTACATAGGGATCTAAATAGAAAAAATAATTCTCTTTCTCCTGAATATAGTATGAATCCATATCTATTTACTTTTCATTCATGTTTTCCATTTTTTCTGAAAATATTGTTGTTTTTAATACATTTTTATATTTTCTCAATTCAAATGTCACATACTGTCACATATACAAATTTGGAGAATTTTTTGTTTGAGTTGCCCCACATTTGTTTCTTGTTTTGTACGCTAATTAGAACCAAGGGAAAAGAAATGCATATTGCATTATGTAGAAAACAAAATTTACATCCTGCTGCATATATAAAAACTATACAATTTATTACTTTTCATTCATGATTTTCAATTTTACTGAAAAAGTTTGAAAATTTCATAAATATTTTCAAACTGTCAAAATTAATTTATTTTCGATAAATACTCTCAATTGTTAGGGATGGGACAAATTTATTGGTTATTCAGAGAGTGATTCGAATTGAACAACGTACAAAAGTCGGTGTTCGCTCAGACAATTTTGTATGGGGAACTAAGTAATTACTTCGTAATTAAGGGTCGAACAACGAATGAGAGAGCGAACAACGCTCGTCTGTACATGGCATAATGTATTCAATAATATTTACAAATGGCAAAACTACCACCTCCGTTCCACAGGGTTGTCTATTAAAGTACGGCAGTACAGGAAAAGCACGAGAAGTGAATGCCGATTGAAAACAAATTTGTGATAATAATCGTTAATTTGAATTATTTCCGAGTTGCCAGAAAACTATATTTGATATCTCTGGTTAAGCGATTTGAGGGAGTTCACATTATGGAATTTTTATATTTCGCCTTGTGACTCACTAATGATAGTGTAAAGAATTAAAAATTAAAATCCTTATGAAAATATTCCGTTAAAAATCCACGGTTGGTGGTCTTGGGTCTTCATGAAAAAATTTCTTTTAAAAATCCACGCTTATTGGTCTGGATCCTTATAAAAAATCCATGCTTATTGGTCTTGGATCCTTTAGAAAAAAACACTCTCCTATAGCTCTTGGATCCTTCAGATAATATTATATAAAAAATCCGCGCATATAGCTCTTGGGAAATGTTCTTTGAAAAACCGCGCCTATAGCTCTTGGATTCTTCAGATAATATTCTTTAAAAAATCAACGCCTATTGCTCTAATAATTGCTGACAAAAATATTCTTTAACCCTACGGTCAATAACCAAAAAAGTATACGAAGATCAATAACCGTGGTACATTTGTACCCATCCAAAGATAGCTCTGTAACTCATTAAAAACTAGGACTATCGTGAGGTTTTTTGTTTTGAATTAGTCTATACTGATCTGTTGTAGATGTAGGAACTCAAAATTATATATACATTAAAATAATATATCGTTAGCTAAAATGCAAAAAGGCGTAACTAACAAAAGCAAAATTATGTAGGAGAAGCAAAAACTGTTTTGAATGAAAACTATAAACATGTCATGTGAAATGAAAAATTATGCACGGCAGGGTGATATTGCATATGACAAATAATAGACTATAATTTTTTTTAACAAATTTAGTTATTTAGTTTAATGGCAGTCATAACAATTAAGTGAAAACGTGAATTTTTTGTTAGTTACGCCTTTTTGCATTTATCAAACAGAAGCTCCTTTTTTGACCGCAGACGTGTAAAACTTTTTCAACACATGTAGTTTATTGACATTCACAATACTCATTCAAAAAGTCAATTTTCAATTTTTTGTTAGTTACGCCTTTTTGCATTTTAGCTGACGATATATTTAAATCCATGCTTAAATGATAATCTATCTAAAACAATCATAGTAATTTCGTTATAGCTTTCGAATGGGTTAAGCTTTTTTAGATATTTTTTTATTGGGATCTTATTTAGGTGTTCCTCAACTCCTCTGCAAATTTTTGTGGCCCTAGACAACATGGGGCCATCAGGGCGACTCGTGGAAATCAGAAACTACCTTGGTTTTCCTTTGGTATACAGGGACAAAAATATTCTTTAAAAAATCCACGGGTTAAAAAATCCACACCTATTGCTCTAATAATTGCTGACAAAAATATTCTTTAAAAAATCCACACCTATTGCTCTAATAATTGCTGACAAAAATATTCTTTAAAAAATCCACACCTGTTGCTCTAATAATTGCTGACAAAAATATTCTTTAAATAAAAAATCCACGCCTATTGCTCTAATAATTGCTGACAAAAATATTCTTTAAAAAATCCACGCCTGTTGCTCTAATAATTGCTGACAAAAATATTCTTTAAATAAAAAATCCACGCCTATTGCTCTAATAATTGCTGACAAAAATATTCTTTAAAAAATCCACGCCTATTGCCCTAATAATTGCTGGCAAAAATATTCTTTAAAAAATCCACGCCTATTGCTCTAATAATTGCTGACAAAAATATTCTTTAAAAAATCCACGCCTATTGCTCTAATAATTGCCGACAAAAATATTTTTTAAAAAATCCACGCATATTGCTCTAATAATTGCTGACAAAAATATTCTTTAAAAAATTCACGCCTATAACTCTTGGATCATTTAGAAAATATTCTTTAAAAAATTCACGCCTATAACTCTTGGATCATTTAGAAAATATTCTTTAAAAAATCCACGCCTATAACTTTTTGATCATTTAGAAAATATTCTTTAAAAAATCCACTCCTATAACACTTGGATCATTTAGAAAATATTCTTTAAAAAATCCACGCATATAACTCTTGGATCATTTAGAAAATATTCTTTAAAAAATCCTCGCCTACAACTCTTGGATCATTTAGAAAATATTCTTTAAAAAATCCACGCTTAATCTCCTTCTCTATGTACAATTTCGCGTTGTTTGGACCATATTTGCGGTCTCTGGAGCGACCAGAAAAAACGACAAAAATTAAGTATTTGGTCCATTTCACCCCCTAAATATTAACCGATCTTTACCAAAAACAGTAGGGGTCTTCATTGGCCAGAACCCATCTTACAATCGGAATTTCGTGATTATTGGTCCATAACTGTGGCCTGTATCGTGTTTACAAATTATAATAGACAGACGGACGAAAGAACACACACGGTCTAGATCGACTCAGCTAGTCGAGATATGACGATCGGTATACTTAAAGGTGGTTTACGACCAATATTTCGCGGCGTTACAAACTCTTGGGGTTGCACAAAGCTATAATACCCTGACAACATAGTTGTATAGGGTATAAAAATCCACGCATATTGCTCTGATAATTGTTGACAAAAACCAGTAGCGGAGCAGTAAAGTCGGACGGGGCCGACCATATTATACCCTACACAACTTCCACGAAAGTCTAACTTTCTGTGGTTCTACATTCTAAATATGGGCAATATTTCGCGATATTTGCACCCTCTTGTTCGACAAGAGGTCAAGAAAAATTACTAATATTCAGTACAGCTCTTCTAATTACTTGTCCAGATTCCCTTCATCGTGGGCTGTGTTGTGATGTTCGGCTTTCAATTTTGTCAGTATATATCGACTCGAAAAAACACAAAAAATTAAGTTTTCAGTGAACTTCATCCCAAAATTACTATCTGATCACCACCGAAAATTATAGGCGTCGTCCTTAAACACATCTGGAATCTCATGGAAAATTTCAAAGTGATCAGCGCTATATTTCCGCCCGCTAGTGTGGTATTGGGTTACTAAATAATATCTCAGTACGTAAAATCTTGTAAATATTTAAGTGTAATTCTCACATCCGAGTACATACGACAGTCTTCTGATAGCATATAAAGTTGTATAATACTATTATTTCATATAATTTACATGCACTTTCAATTTCAATGTACTGCACTTGACAAATTTTCATTCATAAAGTTTTTGTCTATTTATTTTTTTATAGTTTTTGGTTTTGGCCCTTTTCAACGCTTAATTAGACCGATTCACAGCAGGATGATTATGTCGAATGGCTGGCTTATCTTGTAAAACCAAGGTTCTTTTGACACCACACCGCCTGTGGCAGATAATAGAATTACAGCTTAATGTTTGATAGCAATAATAGCAACAACAACAATCAAACAAAAAACTACAATAAAAACCGTTATTGAGTTAGGAATTAAAAAATAGCAAAACTATAAAAAGACAGTTGGCACCTTAAGAAGCTATTAGTCGTTTATTTACACTAAGTCCAGACTGTGTCAATAAAAATATAGTAGTCAAGTGTTGTTGTTATTGTTGTTGTGGTTACTCTTGAGTATGATTGACATTTGAAGGTGTTGAAAAGGGTGGAATTAGAAATAATAATAAAAAGAAACAATATTATAAATTGTTTAAAAGAGTTATTAAAAATTTGTTAATAGAAGATTGCTGCGAATAGCAAGTGTTGTAGGGTATTTAAAATGTGTGTCTCAATAAAAGTGTTATTCAAATTGTTTTTAATAGTTGTTGTAGCCGGTAAGTTTAACGAACATTTCTTAGACAAAATACTATTTTTTTAATAAGAAGTATTTCATGATATTTCAAAACAAACTTTTACCCCTTATTGTTCTTGGATCCTTATAAAAATATTCCATTAAAAAACCACGCTTATTGGTCTTGGATCCTTATGTAAAAATTCCTTTAAAAATCCAAGCTTATTGGTCTCCACGCTTATTGGATCCTTAGGAAAATATTTCTTTTAAAATGGCCTTGGATCCTTATAAAAATATTCCTTAAAAATCCACTCTTATTGGTCTTAGATCCTTATGAAAATATTTCCTTTAAAAACCATCGTTATTGGTCTGGGATCCTTATGAAAATATTCCTTTAAAAAATCAGGCTTATTTGTGTTGAATCCTTATGAAAATATTCCTCAAAAAATCCACGCCTATAGCTCTTGGATCCTTATAAAAATATTCTTTAAGAAAACACGCTTATTGATCTTGGATCCTTATGTAAATATTATTTTAAAAATGTTTTATTATGTTTTAAGATCATGTTAATAAAAAAACTATTACTCATATTTAAATAAATATAATTATTAAATAAAGTTCCATCCAAAATTTAAAAACAATTATTGTTTGACCCACATATTATTGTTGTTGTTATTACAACACCAAGTTAATTATTTTTAAAAACAAATTAATTACACACCTTGTCTCAGCGAACATCATTAATAAATTAAGAACTTCATACGAATACCGAAAGTATCCTAAAAATACGCTCACCTGACTACATTAGAGTGGGACGAAATTACTTTTTTTTTACAAGGGCAGTTCGGAAAGTTTTTAGCCTAGCACAAAAAGCGCGGTATAAACAAATTTCAGTTTCAATCTGGCAACTCCTTCATAAGAATACAAAAAAAATACATTTAAACATTTTAAGGAGTCATAAAACCGAATGTGGTGGTTTTAGAATTGCTTATCGTATCGTCCCACCCTAATAAATAACCTCTGACGTTTACAAGCCAAAAAATGCATCGAATTTAACATAAAATTTATCATTTCCTTTGGATGAAAATTGTTGATGTTTCATAACTTCAATACTCTTGTGATCGCCGATAAGAAAAGACGTTCGAATTGAATTTAAAAACAAATAATTTCAAAAAAACCAGAAACAAAAATGTCCATTAGCACCCTTCATTGTGTTTGCAACATCATCAATCCTTGCCGCAATGAATTGGCCTCATCGTTTATTTTAGTACAATGGATAATTTCGGGGGTTGCATCCTTTTTGAATTTCGTTCGCCCCATATGGAACTTTAGTAATTCAATGATTTTGATTTCAAAATAATTTATAATAACAAATATTGAAATTCATTTCTATTTAACAGTTGGCATACGAGCTCAAGTCGAATTGAACGAAGAGGATTACAATGACACATGGATGTATATGCCAGATGGTGATGGAGAGCCACAGGTGGCATATTTGGTTGAACCCCCACCAGATGACAATCGCAATGAGGAACCACAATTCATACAATTTGAATATTATTCGAGGTACGTATTTTTTTTTAATTTAGGTTTTATTTTGTTTAATATTTGTTTTTTTTTCTTATTTACAGTTCAAATCCATCCGAACCCGTCATCAACAATGTTTGGATGAATGAAGGAGACGTGCCGACGCGTCACAAACGTGATACATGGGAGGAAATGGCTGAGAAATTTAATCCTGCATTAGATACGAAAATTTTGGTTCACGGTTGGAAATCTAGCACACAAAGTAATTCCATACAGTCTATAAGGGGTGGCTACATAAAAAGGGGGCATGTCAATGTTTTTGGTAAGTACTAAAGGATAAATGAATACAACACAAATTGGGATAGGGATATTCTAATTTTATCCGTAAATGTGAAATCCACAAGATTAAATATTCGGTTTATTCAAAAATTTTATAATTATTATTTAATTACAATTCCTTAATAATCTCTTCTTCTTTGTTAGCCATTAACTGGCGTGATCAAGCTGACAACATTTATTACCTGAGACCGGCACGATATACCGTACAAGTGGGTAGGGCCGTGGCCAAATTGATTGATTTATTGGTGGAGGAGAAAAATGCCGATCCCAAGAGGATACACTTAATTGGTCATAGTTTGGGATCACATATTATGGGTTATGCCGGATCCTATACTAAATATCGTGTTGGAAGAATTACCGGTAAGTGAGATACTCAAAAACACAATAACAAAATATATCTAATATTGCCAATCAATAGGTTTGGATCCAGCCCGTCCCGCCTTTGAAGACTGCATTGGCCCGGAAAATCACTTGGATCGCACCGATGCCGATTTTGTCGATGTGATACACAGTTGTGCTGGTTTCTTGGGATTTAAAAATCCCATTGGTCATGTCGACTTCTATCCAAATGGTGGTAATCCACCACAGCCGGGTTGTACGGAGATTAGTCAGATATTTAGTGAGTGTTTTTGGGTACTTAAAAAAATATATTTTTATTAATTTTAATTTTTTTCAAATTGTAGCTGGTTGCAGTCATGGCAGGTCGTATGAATATTATGCCGAATCGATTAACAGCGACAAAGGTTTCTATGCTGTGCCCTGTGGTTCTTTGTTTGATGTCAAGGGTAAAAATTGTACCGGCGAGAAAATTCTAATGGGTGATCCCACACCCACCACTGCTGAGGGTATTTACTATTTGAAGACCTCAAATCAGTCATCATTTGCATTGGGAATGGACTATAAATGATTACCAACCAAGGAGGAAAAGGGAAATTGTTATAAATTGTTTAATTCTAAGGGATAATGTTAATAAAAATTTATAAAATATATGAAAAGTTCTTTTGTGGTTTCACATAAAAAAATCTTTTTTTTTTGAATTTAGGAAACTTTTTTAACAATAGCATGGATTTTTTAAAGAATATTTTCTAAAAAATCCAACAGCTATATGCGTGGATTTTTTAAAGAATATTTTCAAAAGGATCTAAGACCAGTAAGCGTGGATTTTTAAATGAATATTTTCATAAGGATTTAAGAAAATATGCGTAGATTTTTAAAGGAATATTTTCATAAGGATCTAAGGCCAATAAGCGTAGGTTTTTTTAAGATTTTTCAAAAGGATCCAAGACCAATAAATGTGGCTTTTTAAAGAATATTTTCTAAAGGATTCAAGTCCAATAAGCGTGGATTTTTATAGGAATATTTTTATAAGGATTAAAGACCAATAAGCGTGGATTTTTAAAGGAATATTTTTATAAGGATTAAAGACCAATAAGCGTGGATTTTTAAATGAATATTTTTATAAGGATTAAAGACCAATAAGCGTGGATTTTTAAAGGAATATTTTTATAAGGATTAAAGACCAATAAGCGTGGATTTTTAAAGGAATATTTTTATAAGGATTAAAGACCAATAAGCGTGGATTTTTAAAGGAATATTTTTATAAGGATTAAAGACCAATAAGCGTGGATTTTTAAAGGAATATTTTTATAAGGATTAAAGACCAATAAGCGTGGATTTTTAAAGGAATATTTTTATAAGGATTAAAGACCAATAAGCGTGGATTTTTAAAGGAATATTTTTATAAGGATTAAAGACCAATAAGCGTGGATTTTTAAAGGAATATTTTTAAAGACCAATAAGCGTGGATTTTTAAAGACCAATAAGCAATGGATTTTTAAAGGGACCAATAAGCGTGGATTTTTAAAGGAATATTTTTATAAGGATTAAAGACCAATAAGCGTGGATTTTTAAAGGAATATTTTTATAAGGATTAAAGACCAATAAGCGTGGATTTTTAAAGGAATATTTTTATAAGGATTAAAGACCAATAAGCGTGGATTTTTAAAGGAATATTTTTATAAGGATTAAAGACCAATAAGCGTGGATTTTTAAAGGAATATTTTTATAAGGATTAAAGACCAATAAGCGTGGATTTTTAAAGGAATATTTTTATAAGGATTAAAGACCAATAAGCGTGGATTTTTAAAGGAATATTTTTATAAGGATTAAAGACCAATAAGCGTTTTTTTAAAGAATATTTTTCAAGGACCTAAAGACCAATAAGCGTGGATTTTTAAAGGAATATTTTTATAAGGATTAAAGACCAATAAGCGTGGATTTTTAAAGGAATATTTTTATAAGGATTAAAGACCAATAAGCGTGGATTTTTAAAGGAATATTTTTATAAGGATTAAAGACCAATAAGCGTGGATTTTTAAAGGAATATTTTTATAAGGATTAAAGACCAATAAGCGTGGATTTTTAAAGGAATATTTTTTAAGGATTAAAGACCAATAAGCGTGGATTTTTAAAGGAATATTTTTTAAGGATTAAAGACCAATAAGAGTGGATTTTTAAAGGAATATTTTTATAAGGATTAAAGACCAATAAGCGTGGATTTTTAAAGGAATATTTTTATAAGGATTAAAGACCAATAAGCGTGGATTTTTAAAGGAATATTTTTTAAGGATTAAAGACCAATAAGCCTGGATTTTTAAAGGAATATTTTTATAAGGATTAAAGACCAATAAGCCTGGATTTTTAAAGGAATATTTTTATAAGGATTAAAGACCAATAAGCGTGGATTTTTAAAGGAATATTTTTATAAGGATTAAAGACCAATAAGCGTGGATTTTTAAAGGAATATTTTTATAAGGATTAAAGACCAATAAGCGTGGATTTTTAAAGGAATATTTTTATAAGGATTAAAGACCAATAAGCGTGGATTTTTAAAGGAATATTTTTAAGGATTAAAGACCAATAAGCGTGGATTTTTAAAGGAATATTTTTATAAGGATTAAAGACCAATAAGCGTGGATTTTTAAAGGAATATTTTTATAAGGATTAAAGACCAATAAGCGTGGATTTTTAAAGGAATATTTTTATAAGGATTAAAGACCAATAAGCGTGGATTTTTAAAGGAATATTTTTATAAGGATTAAAGACCAATAAGCGTGGATTTTTTAAGGAATATTTTTATAAGGATTAAAGACCAATAAGCGTGTATTTTTAAAGGAATATTTTTATAAGGATTAAAGACCAATAAGCCTGGATTTTTAAAGGAATATTTTTATAAGGATTAAAGACCAATAAGCGTGGATTTTTAAAGGAATATTTTTATAAGGATTAAAGACCAATAAGCGTGGATTTTTAAAGGAATATTTTTATAAGGATTAAAGACCAATAAGCGTGGATTTTTAAAGGAATATTTTTATAAGGATTAAAGACCAATAAGCGTGGATTTTTAAAGGAATATTTTTATAAGGATTAAAGACCAATAAGCGTGGATTTTTAAAGGAATATTTTTATAAGGATTAAAGACCAATAAGCGTGGATTTTTAAAGGAATATTTTTATAAGGATCTTGGGAACTGTTTGTAAGGAAAATTTTCATTATGGGTCCATGTTATATCATAGCCCCCATATGACATATCCGCCGCATTTAAGGCATTTTAAAGATTATATCCGCATTTTAGAACCACACAAATATTTATTACATACAAATATTTGTTTTTGTAATTTAATCTAGTTAATTGTGTGTGTGACTAAGTTTATTTAAAACAAAAATAAAAATCGTATTAATTATACAAAAAAATAAATTAAAATACTATCAAAAAATCCAATAATAACAATAAGGCAAGATATCAAATTTTTAAGGTATTACATCAGTTCTACGTCTAATAATTGTATTACTCGAATTATTATTCATAATAATATCCTCGGGCCGTGGTTTAATTTCATAATGCATAAAACCATCGACATCATCCAATTCCTTGGAGGAGAATTTCGCCAAGAGCGTGCCACGTCCGGCATATGGCGGAATATATTTGAATGTTGAGGCGGCTGTGCCACCCACGGGTATTTCAGCAATCTGAAAAAAAAAAATTAAAATATTTATTAAATATTCTATTCAATGAGATTTCTTTTCAGACATGCAACTAACCTTAAATCTTAATGGCTTATCAATGCCAGGACCTTCAATATGGAATATACCTTTCCTTACTGGGATGGGCAGGGGATTTGTTAATCTAACGATAACATCAACCGGCTGTCGGGACACAATATCACCCTGGAAACTGAATTTAATATCTGGTTTGCGTACACGAAAATCATCCATGGCATAGTATTCGTAGTCGGTGTTTTTCACCAAGGCGGCGCAGGAGATGTTAAAGGTGGCCTAAAAAATAAAATATTAATAATTATTTGTTCGTGATGTGAAAATTTTCCAACCCACCTGAGTCGACAACTTCTTGAAATACTCCTCAAATATAACTTCCATGCGTACATACTCCGTCGCCCCGGCTGCCACCTCCACCTCAAAAGGCATAGATTTGATCAGCTCATTACTAATACCGGTATATTGAGCCGATTCACAATTTAATTGCCCGGTGGCGGTGTGGGACTTCTCTTTCGATTTATTTATTATGGCCAGCACAATATTAAAGGATTCACCGATTTTAATATCATCATTCAATTGCATATCGAATTCCACCTCGTTGAAGGTATCATTCAAATAGTAACGACTAAAGGCATGCTGTGACTGTTTCAAGGCCTTCAGGGTCACGTTGCGTTCCTCTTCACTTTTCTCGGCATATTTATAGCTGCTGGTAATATCTTCACGTTCCCATTTCAAAACAGCTTTCGTACTAATAAAATGTCCAATGGCCATGGTATCTTTGCGCAATAACTTTATGGGTTGGAATGGACCATTGTAACGCCAATATATTTTATCGGCATTTACCTCGGCAAAAACAAAACCACAATCAAAAGGCCGCAGAATTTCACCATTTTTCACAGCAGCCACCGGGGCAGGTCCAACACGGTACATATTTTCCGAAGCTTCTTGGGGAGTGGCATCCACGGCCTGCCAACCATCATAACTGAGACTATTTTGTCCCACACCCAAATCGGGTCTAGTCATCCACACCTCATTCCAGACATGGTAATTCCAGATGGAATCTGTGGTCTCAGCATCCAACTTCTTGTTATTCTCATCGATGAAAATGTCCACAGTCAGTGAAGCTTGAGTATCGTGAGCCGAGGAGTAGCATGTAACAATTCTTGAGGGTATACCCAAGGTACGGGCAATGGTGGTTAAGACCCCCGCAAAATTCCAGCATTGACCAAATTTAACAGGTCTTTGGGTCTTATAGAATTGTTGTATAATCTCCGTGGAACCAATCCATTTGGTTGGGGCAATACCACCCGAAAAGTCTTCGGTCCAGTTACCCAAAAGAACGCCATCATCATCTACGGAATTTACGGCTGCCGATAAAGCTCGGGCAACACGCACCGGATCACCACGGTAAGCGGCGGGTACGCGTCCCACAGTACCCAACAATTTAATGGAACACTCCAACACATGTCTCTCAAATTGTCCCAATTTCCACACTGAAGGCCTTAGACGATTATACGAACCACGCCATATCAAGGTGGTGTCATGCATTACATATTCTTTCCGCTGATTTCTATCAGGCATATATACCTGATCATCGGGACACCAGGGATTAAACAATACATATATAGGTACAGGCAATGTAAAGGATTTCGAACCATCACCCAACAATTTGGTATCTATGTCCATTTTCCATTCGGTAACGGGGCAGGTGGCGGAGGGTTTGATTAATACAGTCAAGCTATTTGTTTCATGTGCCTCTATGCCAGCACCCCATTCGAAAGGATCACCCAAATAATCAATACCATCTCTGGGCACCAAACCAATCAGTGTACCATGTCCCGGATTGGGTTTCTTCTCATCGGCCACGGTGAATATGAAACTAATGGCATCACGACTGGGACTGAAATCACGATTGAAATTAAGACGTATTCTAAATGGCTCTCCGCGTCGTACAATCAAGGCATCTTTGGCAGCATAGAAATGATCGGTGTGATGCTCGTCGTGATTTTCATCGCGGCATAAATCTACGCTAACGATTCTTAGTACGGCATCCGAAGCAGCAGCTGTAAGAAGATGGAGGGAGAGAGAAAATGTAGTTGTGAAATATTTCGGAAATAAAAAAATTGAAATCGGAAATTATAGAGTTAGAGATAACTCTCTCATAAGACAGAATTTATTCTTATTGGAAAAATGATTACTGGAAAAGTAAACTAACACCACTATTAATCCATAAAGTAATTGCCCCTTGTAGGAAATATCTACAGTAAACTACTGACTTACGCCATAATTTTAATATATTTTTTTTTAATTTTATTGAATGAAAGCAAACTATGTTAGAAATAGCATCAAATTTTAGAATAAGTTTAGATTTGTTCGAATTGGTCACCCTTGGCAGGAATTATGGCCTTCAAACGGTCATTAGTAAGTCAGTAGTGATTTACTATAGACAGTTCCTATAGGGTAGACAACGATTTTAATACAAAATATATATATATATATATATGTATATATTTGTTTCTTTTTATAAATCGCATTAATCACCTATTCTGAGCTGCACTGTGTAATATGTTAATTGTCATTCAAATAGTTGTCACACTAGATTTTTTTTTTTTTGCCAAAAATGTCAACAAAAACGCAACAACAACCCACCACGCTCTCTGTTGTAATTACATCCTACATTCATTCATCATGAATGAATTTCAAAATGATTAATCACAATGTTATTCTGAATTGTCTTCTCTGTGATTTTTTTACTTCTGGTGTCTTAAAAAACGTAGATTAACAAATCTTTTATAGCTTCGTGCTCATCATCATCATTGAACATAATGGCAATGATATGGAAGGAAGGTTGATGTTTTTTTTCTGGAAAACAAAAACTAATAAATTAATCTGAAAAAAACAACATTGTACCAAAAATCTATACAACATATCCACTTAAGTTTGGGAATTGCCAAAATAAAAAATAATACCCTAAGGCCAGATGTTTCATTTCTTAATTATGACAGCAGTACGTCATATGTTCTTTTGATGAGTGTATCATATTAATATTAGGGTGGCTCAGGAAAAAAATGTGTTATTAAATTTTAAAAACTGTTTAAAAGACTAAACGAATTTTTGCAAGGAGCGGTAATCCTCCTTTATCTAATGAAATGGTATATTTTCACGTGTCTTAACAAACTGCAGCAGAAGCAACACTTGAGTACCGAAGACCACCATTAAGAAACCCATTGTACGATCTGAAGTGTCGTAATGCTACTGAGTTGAAAAACGCAGCGTATATGGCAACCCTGCAAACCTTAGCAACACGCAATGTGAGAGAGAATTATCAGGAGAAAAGGAGAGAGGAGAAACGTATTTTCAAAAAAAAAAAGGAACAAGAAAAACTTGAACGTGAGCAATCCGTGATGTACAGGAGTCAGAATGAAGTCCGGAAATTTTACCAACACCAAGAAGGAAACCTAGTGACAGATATTGACAGGAATGAGCATTTTGCAAAGCTTTTGGTACCAATAAGAGATGACGGTGTAGATTGTATACCACCTAGCCAATATGAGGAAAGAAAGGAAAGAAACAATCAATCGACTGAAGAATAATAAAGCAGCAGATGCCAATGAATATTATCAAGCGAACTATTAAAGGCCGGTTGTTATACGCTGATCAGGAGCATGCACCAACTGATTAGTACAATTTGGCTAAAGGAATGCATGCCCAATGATTGGAACCTAACCATCCTGCCTCCCGTGTGTGAGACAAGACGATATGTACCAACTATAGAGGAATAAGCCTCCTTCCCATCGCATATAAAGTGATGTGTGAACGACTGAAACCAATGGTCAATGACAGTTTGTCTGAATCCTCGATCGGTATTGATGGACTCCGATGGGTCCTTTCCGACTTTAACTGCTGACCTTGTGACAGTTAAAGTTATTTTCATAGTCCTCTTAATTTTGCAGGAATGCCGAACGTAAACATGGCTTTAAACACCTCTGAGCCGGTTGGGCTTTCGAATGTGGCCTTATAGTAGACGAGAAGGTGGAATGTGTCGTTGTGTTTTCCAGGATTTGATGCAGGTTGAAAATCTGATCTATGGTGGAGTTATAAGGTCTGAAGCTTTGAGTGGCACAAGGTCAGCAGATTAAGTCGGAAAAGTCCCCTCGGAGTCCTTCAATACCGAACGAGGATTCTGACAAGGTAACAGTTTGTCGTGTTACCTTTTTAACATCCTGCTGGAAAAGGTCATTTAAGATGCAAATGTCAACATAAATGTCACTCTGTACACCAAAAAACATATATTACTTGCCTACGTCGACGACATCGACATAATGGATCGAACATTGCGAGCGGTAACAACCACCTTTGAACAAATTGAGAAGGAGTCTGCCAAAGAGGGACTGGTAGTAAATGGCGAAAAGACCAAGATGTTGGTATCAAAGCGAAAAACGTCCAGTGACTCGGACCAACTGTGCAAAACTACAGTTTCGAAGTGGAGAGCGATTTTATATACCTTTGTAACGCCATAAACAAAACTAATAATCCGAAGAAAATAGTGTTGGCCAACAGATTGTACTAGGGTCTGAGTAAGAAATTCAAAAACAAGGCCACCTCTCTCCATACTCACACTCAACAAGACGTTGATACTACCAAGAGCTTCCTCATGCAAGCTGATGAGACAGCTCTTGGCGTATTTGGGGGAAAGATTCTCCGAAAGATCTGTGGGCCGATCTGCATCTACGGCGAATATCGCCGTCGAATGAACCAAGAGTTATACCATCTATTCTCGGATATCGACATAGTCACACGTATCGAGTCATGTTGTGAGAATGGATGAGGATGCCCCAGCTCAAAAAGCGAGTCAACTGATAGTTCACGCAAAAGGGGAAGGCCACGAATTCGATGGAAAGATCAAGTGAAAGAAGACATTTCGGAAAATGGTCTTTCAAATTGGCAGAGCTGCGCATAAGATCGACGCGCCTGGAAATCTTTTTTAAATTCGGCTTATGGAACAAATGTTCTGTCACAAGCCAGCTAAGTAAGTATTGGTCATCGAATCTTCTAACCAAAATTTTACAATATTGATCCACTTTTTTGGGTAGCCACATATAGCGGCATTTTTTTATTCCAGTATTGTGGGAAATTTGGATAGATGGATTTACCCCACCATCCATCCCAAACCATCTAAAAATTTTGTAGTCCTATCCAATATGGACGATAATATAATTTGTATATCAATTATGAGTAAAAACATTTCACGAATGATTCTTCAAAATTTGATCCAAATGCCTCTAATATTGAAAATTTTACAGCATTTTAATCAATAAAGTTACAAATGTACTCGATTATTGATCGTAGTGTTAAACAATTTCAACATGGCTTCATTAAATGCCTTCAATGTTCTCTTACTCTTAACGACAACTCAGAGAGCTTCTTATTGTTTTCTTCTTCTTCAAAGTTGAAAGTTTTCGGTAGCCATTAAAATCGTTTGCATTGTTTTTCGTGGGCTCCATATTGTTTGTGTTATTAAGTGCTATTATTAAATATAAAATTATTCTTGAATTAAATAAATATTCTATTGTGTTGTAATTATGTTCAAATATATCATTTCCTAGTGTCCAATTGTGAAATTAATGTGATTTTAAAGCAAATCAATCTATGCGCGTTGGCCGTGTGAAAGAAAACAAATTGCATTACTCCCAATCAGAGGGAGAGAGTGAGAGGCAAAAATAAAAAAACAACAACAATAGTGCTGAGAGAAATAAAACAAATGAAGAAAGTGAATAGAAAACGATGGTAAATAGTGAAAAATTATCAATTTGCTGTCAATTAGTGTAAATATGAATAATTAAATTCGCTGCCGTTTAATGTAATACTAAACTCAACAATTAAAAAAAAATATTGAAAGGCAAAGAACACGAACTTTTAGTCGTGATTATTCAATGCAGATTTGCCAACTATCTGAAATTGATGAGGATTTGCTCAAGTAATTTGAAAGCATCACTGGTAAGTTTTTTGTATTGTTGTAAAAAATATACACATATGGTCTGTTCCAGTACTTTTTATACCCTACACAACTATGTTGTCAGGGTGTTATAGCTTTGTGCAGCCCCAAGAGTTTCTAACTCCGCGAAATATTGATCCTAGACCCACCTTTAAGTATACCGATCGTCATATATCGACTAGCTGAGTCGATCTAGACATGTGTGTCCATTAAAATTTGTAAACATGATACAGGCCACAGTTATGGACCAATCTTCACGAAATTTTGCATGTAGGATGGGCTCTTGTCAATGCCCTCTCCATAATTTTTACATGGAGAAGGGCATCGGGCCAAAGAAAAAGCATGTCTGTTTTTATAAAGATCGGCCATTATTTAGCAGGTCAAATGGACCCTGAATTTTGTGTGAAAAATTACAACATTTGTATTCTATGGCGTATATAGACCCGAGAAGTTGATAGACCTAGAGGTGTTATTGACCTTTAAATTGATACAAATTATATTGACCTAGAGGTGTTATTGACCTTTAAATTGATACAAATGATATTGTCGTATGCACTCGGATGTGAGAGTTACACTTTAATATTTACAGGTGTTTATTCATATATTATTTAGTAACCCATTAACATTAGGGGGCGGAAATGTAGCACTGACCACTTTTAAATTTTCCATGAGGATCCAGGTATGGTCAAGGATAACGCCCATAATTATAATTGATGATCAGACAATAATTTTTGCATGAATTGAACAAAAAACTTAATTTTTGTGTTTTTTTGAGTCGATATATAGTTCACAATTGAAAGCCGAACATCACAACACAAGGGAATAAAATCTGAACAAGTAATTAGAAAGGCTGTAAGAGGAATAAAAATCCGCAAAAAGTTAGAGTTCCGTGGTAGTTGTGTAGGGTATCGTATGGTCGTCCCCGTCCGACTATACTGCTCCGCTATTAAAATGATATCATTTTAAAAACGCTCTCAGAGTACAAAATAATTTGAAAAGTTCGGTAACGCAAATCTAGTAAATATGCCAAAGTTAGATGGCAATACTTCAAAATCAACATAACAGTCA